CATGTCCATATTTTTAGCATTTTTTTTTTCTGGTAGTTGAAACCACTCAGCCATCGTTTGTTAATAAATAGCAAATGGGAACCATAAATGCAGTTGTCTCCTCGAAGGTATAATTTGAAGGAGAGACCAGAAAGGAAGGCAACTATGATCTCAATGGAAAGCTAACATTTGGGAAACAAAGTGCATGCTGTCTGTAGACCGTGCTGCCCAGTGCTAAACATTCTGGGGTGGTGTGATGATGGGGAAGGAAGAGACTTTCTAAATGGGGGAACTCCAAAGGCCAACAACAAGGTGATTCTTTCAATTGTTCCTGGCAATTAATCTGTGCCAACAGTCATTACCAAGGCGGAGTGACCTGTACTTTGGCCCAGAGCACTGGAATTTGGAAGGAGTGCCGACAGAACAATCCGAGCTTTAAATACCCAGTTTAGCACCTAGTTAACAAGAATAATTAGTTAGAAAAAGATGCTTCCAGATAATGGCTTCCTGAATCCCGAGTCCCTCCCATTTGGAGTGGGTGCACCCCTGGTGAGTTCTTTCCTGACCCGGGCCCTGCCTTTCCTTTCCCAGCACTAATCTCTCTTAAAATGGCCTCAGGGTGTACAGGGGTCTCTATCACCCTCTTCAACTGAATTGAAGGTGCGTTTAGTGCTTTTTGCCCCTGGCATATGGTTATAGCTCTGTGTGCCAAGGTACCACTGTTATTAAGAAAGAGGCAATTTAATTAGGATTTTTTAACTCTGAAAGAACTTATGTTCACATATTTAGAACTTAAATCTACTTCACATCTTTTTTTTTTTTGAGCGATGGAAAGAACTCCTATGAAAGGGAAAGGCATTTATTAAGCTCTAACTAGTACTAACTAGTTAGTCAATAAGCATTTATTAAGCACCTACTACACACCAGCACTGTGCTAAACACTGGGGTTACAAAGAAAAGCAAAAGACAGTCCTTGGCCTCAAAGAGCTCACATCTAATGGGAGAGACAACTTGCAAAGAACTATGTACAAACATCTATCTATCTATCTATCTATCTATCTATCTATCTATCTATCTATCTATCT